TATAGAATAAAGAATAAAAATACAAAAAATAAAAAATAAAAATCAAATTAAAAATAAAGAAATATAAAACCATTTATAGGAAATTGCAAGAAACTATCAGGAAGAACTATATTTACATTTGTTCTTCCAAATACTTATTCAAAGACCCTTTATCCCTAAGTGTGTAGTACTCAAAGTGATTTTAGCTAAAGTATTAGCCTCCTTATAAAGAGAATATTAAAGTACAAGAATTCAACTTTGAAATCTGATTGTTGTAATTTATCATATTAGAGCTATAAAACTAGGAAGACAACTACCCAATCAGATTTTAGTTTGTGATTTTATCTGATGACTGAGCAGTCTAGTAGTGAAGCTTACACTGTCTGTCAAACTGTCATCCAAGACTTATTTTTCTGAACCGCCGAATTAAAAAGTGATCTTACCCAATGCTGATACATTGATGGATGCGACAAAAAGTTTCAAATATAAAGAGACGGGCATTCTCAATGAAGTCCTCAAGGCATGCCACTAAGAAGAAATCATTCACAAGCACCTGCAGCGTAAGGAGAAAAGGAACACTGAGGACAAACATGGAAGTAATAATTTACTTGTAGACACCATCAAAAAGATCAATGAACAGTTAATATAGAAACAGTTCTTGGTATATTCTAAGATGTGAAGGAATTTAGAGGTTTTCATTGTTCTGCAGCTTGCTAAACTAAAACTGCATGCTGACATGATCAGCGAGGTCTGACTCAAGAAGAGAACAAAGGTCCCAGCAACACAAAATTTAACGCTCTGCTCATACTGTAGGATTCTTTTCCCACTCCACTTTGCAGTTTGATCAGCATTCTCCTTACAGTACCAACCAGCTTCCTCAGCAGTGCAAGTGCACCTATGAAGTTTAGATTATACGACTGGAAGCCCCGTGGAGCGAAGACTATTACAAACCACCTGATTTGCATTTAGGTGACTAATACTAAAGAAAAGCCAAACCAGAGGCTGTGAAAGAATTAGTACTAGTGGTCAGCTATTGGGAATACTGACTTTCACATGAGTTAGCCCAAGTGTTAGGCATCTTCTGCTGTTCACAGTATAGCAACTAAGAGTTTTCCAAGAACATGTACCTAGCTACCTTAGTGTTACTTCCATTATTTTTTACCACTGCAATTCCAGGATGCAGTATCTTTCACAACAAAAGAAAAATCCAAGCTTTTCTTTAAGCCTTTCTGTAGCACTAATGGAAAAGCTGAAGCTCAGCCAAGTGCATGATTACCTATCACTACTTCTAGAACTGCTAAAATATAATTTTAAAGCTATATCTTTACCAGTAAGTCTTAAATGTTACAAATTGAGTTGCCAAAAATCCCCCTCCCAGCAAACCCAACTCCACACACTCATGAATTAAAGCTCATCAGAAAATACTGGCAATGGAATCAAACACCACTCCGAACAAAATTAGCTGGCCATTATGAATTTGAGAGATCTTTACTTAAAGGAAAGAAAGTCTTATGAATGTTATAATCCTTACTGTTTCACACTCTCTCAGCTTCTTCTGTGCACCATCAAAATCAAAATTAACATACAAGCATTCCACAAACTCTGTGATAGGGTCCCTGTATGTGTAGGACTCCTGCCAAAAAAAATTAGGCATATTAGGAATCAAATTCACAAGATAACTCAAGCATTCCTTATATTCTTCAACCAAAATTTAATACTGGAAACAAGTCCATTCATCTCCTTGAAGAATAATAACTAAGTTAAACTTTCCAATTCCTCTTTTAAAAGCTGCATAACTGCGCTCTTCCCCCACCACCAACAGCCTGGATAAACAACCAGAAGTGTAGTTTCACATTCAGCATTTAGTGCTGTATCTTTGGGTTTGAAAAATATTAAGAGACTAGAGCTGGTTCTAGCTCAAACCTCCAAATTTCTTAAAACATGGAAAAACAGCTAGCCAGACAGTCCTTCTACATTCTGGTTTCAAGCAGTATTCCAACACCAGATGCTTCATATTTCAAATTGAAGGACAATTGTTGATTCAAACAGACAACATAGCTATCAAATAATGCTACTTTCTATATACCAAATACTTGAATTTATTTTGGCATTAAAAAAAATTACTCAACTTTCTCAACCACAAGGCAGATCTATATACACCTGTGTAAATGAAGAGGTAATTAAACATCCTCTGATACATCTTTAATGAACATTTTAAGACAGCTTAACTCAGTAGCTGTCGATATCTGCTTCAGTATACAAGAGATTTTTCTAGAAAAAACTTATTTTTCCTTCCTCAAAGAACTGCATTTATAGTCTTATTATTCAGGCTTAAAATTCAGTTTTATAGGTAGAGGGGTCTTCACATCAAAACTGTCCTTGTTAACCACATAATTAACATCCACTATGTAAAACAGTCTGGGATCAATAACAGAGATATGACCAAACTGCTTACCTGTTGGCTCAATACTTGCAAAGGTTTTGCCATTATTAGCAACTCCAATTGCTAATAGAGTAATAACCCTACCCTATGACATTTGACAAATCACTTAATTCAATGCTCTGTTTTTCCTATGTAGGGAAGTCACCAGTTATCCTGTCTAATTCATGTTCAAATCCATAAAACCTCTATATTTCATGATTTAACATAATGAACCATACAGACTAGAAGAGTACTAAAAAATAACTCTCTCATCAGGTATTCCAAAACCAAATTCAATGAAGTTGGTATTTTCAAAAGGAAAACCCTAATGATTTTTTTTTATTCATACCAATTGCAGAAGATAGAAGCAAAAGAAGTTGCGAAATGTTACTTCAAATATTAGAAGTTATTACATTAGAATTTCAATGCTAAAATTGGGGTTTACTTTAAGATAGAAGATGAGTCTTAACACTTCAACTGGTTTACAGCTTCTTATGCTACTTTTGTGAACAGTGATGCTGAAAGCCAGATTAAGAGATGCTTAAAAGTTGATCTTTGCATTGACTATGCTTTGTATAGGTACTTAAACATCAATGCTTGAAGTGGATATAACTGATTGCTACCCTGTAATAACTCCACTGTTGCTTATATATCAGTTTATTATTCACTGTGTTATTATCATTACAAGTGTTTAGAATAAATATCTTCTGCCATAATCTCCACTGCTATTAAGCACAATTCTTTTCTTGCTCTTGTCCATGTTTACATCCTCATATAACTGACAATTATTTTTAAGAAAATGCAAATGAATACAAAACAATACACTTCAGTGGTTTTGAAATGCAAAAAAGATTCAACAAGATCCCTTAATCATAGAATTACTTGTAGGATACCTAGAAAAGAAGATTCAGATCCAAAGCCATTTCACACATCACACTGAATTTTTTGCATTTAATCATACATAAAGAAAAGCAAAACCAAGAGCATACTCTACTCATTATCTGTCTGCATCAGAGGAGGAAAAATAATCATTCTGTCCTCCCACAGATTAACATGCATTTTATTCCACAGTGGAAAAATTGTTCAATAAGAGAAAGTGAGCATCAAAATACAGGCATATTATTAAAAAAAAATTACGAAATTTCAGTAAAAAAGGACAAAAAAATTAATGTGTTTCAGTCCTTACCTGCTGAATAACCTTGACTAGATCTTTCAGCACTTGTCTACGTTTTCGAACATCCTTATTTGTTATGACTGCAGTAGTCAAATATCTGAGGATATGTGGGCACATTGTCTGAATTGCATTGAGATACCTAGAAAGATAAAGTACAGATCAAGCTCAGATAATGCAATTTTGCACTAAAACAGTATTCATGGTAAATAGCTTTGGCACCTTTTATGCAATTTATACCAGGGCTTATGACTGATCATTTATTCAAATACAGAAGGTCAATTCATTTTTATTAATCTTTTTGGGGCACAGGGAGGAGGGAGGGAAGTAAGGGGTAGAGAAGGCAGCAGTGCACTAGGGAGAGAAGGAAAGGAACTAACACTGCAAAAGAATGGTTGATATGCTATGTTCAGGTCAGCACTGGCCCAGGCTGTCAGCTACACCAATTTCACAAGAGGGGTTTGCACAAGCACACAGAACCACAGGAATTCCTTTTCTGAATTGTCACCCAAGCCTGCAACTTTCCTGTTCAGCTGTCCAATGAATTAGCCCACAATTACAAGTGAGAAATTAAAAACCACCCATACCAACACATACACTATGAAACAAAAAGGAAGCAAAAAAACCCCCACCACAAATTGCCATCCCACTGGGATCATCACGCAAAAAATTCAACTTCCTTTTTTTCTAGTATTGTTCCCATTGTAATACCTCACCTCCAACTAGGTATTAACTTGTAGTTTAACTTCTCAGTGTTAAGCTGTTCTTGACTCAAAGATCTACATACAAGTCAGTCATCTCAGAAATGGCTATAGCATTTCAATTTTAGTTTTTATTCTTAGATTTTTCTCAAGTTCCCTTCTTAAAAAGGTTTTATAAAATCAAAATAGAACAATACCTTCCCCTACATTGTTAAAAGATGTGATAGCAATTGGTAGTCTAGCAAAGTCCATTATTCCATCCCCCCAAAGCACCAGAATAGAGAGTCACTTCTTACTCCCCCACTCCTTCCTCTTGAGGCGGAAGTATAACCATGAAGAAAAGCAGATTATAAACACACACCAAAAACCCCAAAATAAAATCATAACACAGGCACAGAAATAAATATTCAAAGGGTTAATATCATTAAGGCTTTTGAAACAGCTTCAGGCTAAAAATGTTTGACAAGCCTGCACATTCATCATCTGCCTTCATTTTAAATTAAAGACCTGAACACAGCACAACTTACTGTGGTTGATAGAGAAAAAGGTCAATGATATTGTCTCTTCCTTTAGGATGATTAAAAAACACAAACAAAGACCAGTGGATGAGCCATGTTCTTTGCTGAAGAGACTGCAGCGGGGAACTGACAGACTAAAAGAAAACAACATTGGTTTAAGTCAAATGGAACACAGTTTGCATGAATACTAATGGATGGAAACCTGTAATTGTTCAAAAGTTTGTGATTTTCCCCAGCTCCTTTTAGCTATGAGCACTCTCAGGCTGAATTTGACCTCTAGCTTTTTAAAACTGTTTAAATCTGTTAAAGGTAAATGTGCTGAATATCATAAAAAAGATGAATTTTCCACTATTATATTCTAAATTGTTGGCCAAAACTTGTATTTGTTATGGCAAGACCGTAGATTTTAGTTCTCCTAAAGCCACCGTACTAACTTAAGTTATTCCTTCCCTTTCTAACCCTGAATTGTTTCTTGCATTCCCCCTTCAGATGTGATTTGAAGAATTACTTGGCTTCTCCAGCTTTTCAGTTGTGCTTCATTTCAAAAGACTCAAGAGCTTTTTGCTGTACACTCTCAGACAATGATGAAACACTATAATCACTTTCAGCCAAGAATGTAACTATGTTCATTTAAGCCAGCTGATAATGACACATAAGGAATCAACACTAAGTATCTGCATGAGCTCCAAATTTCAGCAGCACTTCAAACAGATTGCAAAGCACCATTTTGAGAATGAACTCACACAGCAAATAATCACTCTAAAGAGCATGACAAGTAACTACTATGATTCTATCCTAAAAAAATCTTGGATACTAATGAATAAGTCAAATTTAATAGCATAGTTCCATAAGGAGAGAAAAATAGAGAAAAAAAGAATCCACTGACATTAGTTATCTGCCAAAAAGAACAATTCTGGGGAGAGCAACAACAACAGACAAAAAACAGCCACCAAAAAAAAAAAACCAAACCAAACCAAAAAACCTCAACCTCCAAACGCCTTTTCAAGATTCTGGTTCAGGAGAATAAAACTTCCATATTTCATATATGGCTATTGAAGCCCCATGAGTAGAGGGGAAAACTGAAAGGTCCTTAATCACTCGAGTTGCTCTCAATTAGTACTGCAGCCC